ATTGGGTCCCATTTGTTTACTTTTGTTTTTATTTCCATTTCTTCAGGAGGTGGGTCAAAAAGGATCTTGCTGTGATTTATGTCATAGAGTGTTCTGCCTGTGTTTTTCTCTAGGAGTTGTATAGTGTCTGGCCTTACATTTAGGTCTTTAATCCATTTTGAATTTATTTTTGTGTATGGTGCTAGGGAGTGTTCTAATTTCATTCTTTTACATGTAGCTGTCCAGTTTTACCAGCACCACTTATTGAAGAGGTGGTCTTTTCTCCTTTCTATATTCTTGCCTCCTTTACCAAAGAAAAGATGACCATATGTGCATGGGCTTATCTCTGGGCTTTCTATCCTGTTCCATTGATCTATATTTCTGTTTTTGTGTCAATACCATACTGTCTTGATGACTGTAGCTTTGTCATATAGTCTGAAGTCAGGGAGCCTGATTCCTCCTGCTTTGTTTTTCTTTCTCAAGGTTGCTTTGGCTGTTCGGCGTCTTTTGTGTTTCCCTACAAATTGTGAAATTTTTTGTCCTAGTTCTGTGAAAAATGCCATTGGTAGTTAGATAGGGATTGCATTGAATCTGTAGATTGCTTTGTGTAGTATAGTCATTTTCACAATGTTGATTCTTCCAAATCAAGAACATGGTATATCTCTTCATCTGTTTGTATCATGTTTACTTTCTTTCATCAGTGTCTTATAGTTTTCTGCATACATGTCTTTTGTCTCTTTAGGTAGCTTTATTCCTAGGTATTTTATTCTTTTTGTTGCAATGGTAAATAGGAGTGTTTCCTTAATTTCTCTTACAGATTTTTCGTTGTTAGTGTATAAGAATGCAAGAGATTTCTGTGCATTAATTTTGTATCCTGCTACTTTACCAGATTCATTGATTAGCTCTAGTAGTTTTCTGGTAGCATCTTTAGGATTCTCTATGTTTAGTGTCATGCCATCTGCAAACAGTGACAGTTTTACTTCTTCTTTTCTGATTTGTATTCGCTTTATTTCTTTTTCTCTGATTGCTGGGGCTAAAACTTCCAAAACTATGTTAAATAATAGTGGTGAGAGTGGGCAACCTGGTCTTGTTCCTGATCTTAGAGGAAATGCTTTCAGTTTGTCACCATTGAGAATGATGTTGGCTGTGGGTTTGTCATATATGGCCTTTATTATTTTGAGATAAGTTACCCCATGCCCACTTTCTGGAGAGTTTGTTTTATCATGAATCAGTGTTGAATTTTGTTGACCTTTTTCTGCATCTATTGAGATCATCATATGGTTTTTATCCTTCAATTTGTTAATATGGTGTATCACGTTGATTGATTTGCATATATTGAAGAATCCTTGCATTCCTGGGATAAATCCCACTTGATCATGGTGTATGATCCTTTTAATGTGCTGTTGGATTCTATTTGCTAGTATTTTGTTGAGGATTTTTGCATCTGTATTCATCAGTGATAGTGGCCTGTAGTTTTCTTTTTTTGCAACATCTTCATGTGGTTTTGGTATCAGTGTGATGGTGGCCTCGTAGAATGAGTTTGGGAGTGTTCCTCCTTCTGCTGTATTTTGGAATAGTTTCAGAAGGATAGGTGTTAGCTCTTCTCTAAATTTTTGATAGAATTCACCTGTGAAGCCATCTGGTCCTTGGCTTTTGTTTGTTGGAAGCTTTTTAGTCACAGTTTCAATTTTGATGTTTGTGATTGGTCTGTTCATATTTTCTATTTCTTCCTGGTTCAGTCTTGGCTGGTTGTGCATTTCTAAGAATTTGTCCATTGCTTCCAGGTTGTCCATTTTATTGGCATAGAGTTGCTTGTAGTAATCTCACATGATCCTTTGTATTTCTGCAGTGTCAGTTGTTACTTCTCCTTTTTCATTTCTAATTCTGTTGATTTGAGTCTTCTTTCTTTTTTTCTTGATGAGTCTGGCTAATGGCTTATCAATTTTGTTTATCTTCTCAAAAAACCCAGCTTTTAGTTGTATTGATCTTTGCTATTGTTTCATTCATTTCTTTTTCATTTATTTCTGATCTCATCTTTATGATTTCTTTCCTTCTGCTAACTTTTGGGGTTTTTTGTTCTTCTTTCTCTAATTGTTTTAGGTTTAAGTTTTGGTTATTTATTAGGTTTTTCTTTAAGTGTTTATATTGTTTGTAATCAATTTCAGAATATGAAATACTGTTTGCAATTCTCATGTGTTTCTTAATCTCCTTTTTATTTTATTATTTGATATTTTCTTAAGCTTTTAAAAAAAATTAACTGTTTTTCTGAATAGTCCTATGGTTGAATTCTTTCTCCTCACTCCTTTGAAAGTAGCTTCCAAATAATTGTGGGGGGTGTGTGTGTGTGTGTGTGTGTGTGCGCGCGCGTGCGCATACCTGGTGAGAGAGGAGACGGGAAGAGTGTTTGCTATATCAATCTGCCACATCCACTTGTGATTCCCCCTTGGCTTTCACATTCATGTGTCTACATGGCTCACAGCAAAAACTTCCTGTCTCCTTTTTCACTTCAGCTTCATTTGTAGAGTTCTTCCTGTCTAGTAGGTTAGGTTGTAGGGATCTGCATTTCTTTAATTGTGGTGTCTAAATCAGCCATATCTTTATTACCTAGAAACTTGTTAGAAGTGCACATTTACAGGCTCCATGCTATACGTACGAAGTCAGGAACAATGTGCTTGTGGCCTAGAAATCTGTTTCAATAAGTGCTGTAAGTGATGTTAATGCATAATAAAATATGAGAACTCCTGATAATGAACAACAGAATTACACTGCAAGTTTCTATTTCTCTCTACTCTGATGCCATCTCTGTTCTAGAGTGTTTAATGCCTTTTCTGCTCTTGAGCTCTTTCATGTATCCACTCAATACCCCTATATGTTATTGTTTTATTCAAAGATAGTTGGCTATCTTTCAAGTCAGTGAAACTTACTTTAGAGAATATATATAGCCTGCTCACGGTCTAAGGAGGAATGTGTCAATCTTCAGATAACAATCTCATCAAGGTCTTGATTCTCCCGGAGTTTGTGTTTGGAGATCATAGCATGTATATTGTTTTATATATGTCGAAGGGTTTTTTGTTTGTTTGCTTTTTGTTTTTTATTCAATTTCTTATTCCCCTGCAATTCTCCTGTAGTCTAAATTAACAGTCCTTGGAGAAAAAATACAATGAAAATAAAACAAAAGAAAATAAAACATAAACTTCTAATCCTTGCTATTCAAATCCAAAGGTACAAAGAAAAGAAAAACACCAAGGCATAATTTAAATTTTTGGATCAAAAAACTGAAATAAATGAGACTGTCCTTTAAGCTTAAAGTAGAACATTAGAAAGAGGCATTCATGTAGTTTTGTATGAAGAAAACATTTGTCATAAATCAACTTGTGAATAAGATTTAAGTTTCATTGAGTCAAGAATAATAATTTTGAAGTGTATTTAAAATATATCCATAGTATGCATGTATGTATCCTGTAAGGTAGTCTCTCACTATAGTTAAGTTAATACTAATAGATCTTAAATGAAACCGTAAATAAAATCATGGAATGATCTTTGTTAGCAGAAATGAAATTTTAATGGGTAACTTCTTATATACAAAACAGAATCATCAAACAGGTGTTGTTCCAGGAAGAAAATTTTCTTAGGTAAGACAAGAAATGAACTTAATATCTAGTAGTACTATCTATTTAATGAATATTGGAGACTGGGCAGCCTGAGTATTACTTTAAATATTTGTGGTTTTAGCAAATAATATATATTTATAATAACCAGAATGTAGGTTTTAAATATTGATCAGAGCCCTGCTATTTCACGTTAATGAGGTAACTTTCATGTTAAGATGCTTTGCTTTGTTTTTGAGTCAAGGAAAAAAAAAATATTTCACAATACTATAAATTCTCTTTAATAAATAATCATCATCATAAACTTCTTAGCAGTTTATCCTTTTAAAGCTAATGTTTTCTGGTAACAGAAGCCTTCACAGTCCTTTAGCCATTGACTAATTTCAATAATTAATAGAGACTTTTATAGTTAATCCTCAAAGCATGCATTTCATATTAATATTCTGACTTTTAAGCAGAAAATTAACAAATTTTGTAATCCAAGGGGAAAATGAATTCATAATTATTTGGCAAACAAAATGCCTTTCCAGTAAAATATCCATGAATTTATTTTTAAGTCAAAATCTTTTGTTGGCCATTTATCATTACTAGCTTACTGAATTTTATTTTGATCCCCACATTCACTTTCTCTCTCTCTCTCCATTTCTCCTGTATTAGCTTTCATTAATATTGTTTGAAAAGTTAGTTTTTATGTGAGACACTGCCAAATCATTGAAAAAAAAATACAACTACACTTATGCAGAAAAGAGTCATTTCTTCCTTAGTCCCCTCCCAGAAAAAAAACCCAAAAAAACTCTTTTTAGACCTCTCATAATAATAGGCTGCTTCTCATTGACTGTAGTGTGTGCTAGATCCTGTACTAAGGACTTAACTATCTCATTTAATCCTACAATTTCCTTTTTAAGGAATGTATTACTTTATCCATTTTATGGTAAAGTAATTCACAGTGATTAAGTCACAGAACTCAATGTCTTAGAGGTAGTAAATGTTATATTAGGATTTTAAGTGTGATTCTATGTAAAAAGTCTTCACAAAAATAAAGGGATAATTTTCACAAAGGAAGTTGCATACAACACTACCAAATGTAAAATAGATAGCTAGTGGGAAGCAGCCGCATAGCACAGGGAGATCAGCTTGGTGCTTTGTGACCACCTAGAGGGGTGGGATAGGGAGGGTGGGAGGGAGACGCAAGAGGGAAGGGATATGGGGATATATGTATACATATAGCTGATTCACTTTGTTATACAGCAGTAACTAACACCACATTGTAAAGCAATTATACTCCAGTAAAGATGTTAAAAAAAAAAGAAAGTTGCATACGTTTTTCTAAAAACTTGGAGAGACATTTACAAGTCAGCTACTTTTCCCATTTTTGCCAAGAATTTTTTATTTTCGGCATGGTTTTCCTTTGAGGCAGTTTCTTAAAGTATCCTCTACTCTCTGAAAGAAGACAAATTCTTGTTTAAAGCTCTCTGACTTTCATTATATTCCTGATTGGGGACCTAAACTGTGAGACTGTTTTTGATAAGAAGGTATTATGCTGTATTAGAAAGGCTGCATCAAATGAAGAATGTCTTACACTATTCTAGGGATTTTGCATTTTTCCTAAGTTAATATAACTTTTTGCATAACAGAGGATACTCCAAATTTAAGGCATTAAACTTTTATTCATTTAAAAATGTGTAGGGCTATCTTTTATTGAAATGAGAGTCTTAATTGAATTTCAGCTAAAATAAGTCTTTTATCTCTTTTTCACTTTACTAGTTAAAACTCAAATTCAGCAATAAAAAAGCCAGAGTCACAATAGTTCCATTTAAACAGGACAAATAATTATCTCTGCACTGTGAATATCATCACATCTGAATGTTTCGTGACATCATTATTGCAATTTTCCATTCCACTTAGTTTCATTCATTGCATTAAAGTGTATTTTTAGCTTCTCTTATGGCTATACGGGTTCACAGTGGTTCACTATTTAAATAGCTATGGAAACATTAACCAAGTGAGTGGAAGTCAGAGGGCAAGAATATGGAATAGAAGAGGAAGATGTTGATGGAATATAATGTAGGTACAAGAGTGTCAATGCATACACTATGTGGCAGAGGTATAGAATATGTTGAAGACATGCCATGTTCTCTCAACATCGGCTGAAAGTGTTGTGGAAAGTGTTGACTGGTTTAGGTCAAAATTGGGGGCAAAAATCTTTCTCATAGTCAACATGATTCAGGGAGTAAAACAAGATATTCTTTCTACTGTTCTCTATATTAACTTCTGTGCTCCACTTGTCAGCTGGATTCAGCATATTAGTCACTGTATCAAGTTCTGATTAGGCAAGACCACTGCTATTAACCTTACATGCTCTGATGGATGGATAGATAGGTAGATAGGTAGATACATAGATAGATAGATAGACAGAATAAATGTCTAATTACTAGTTCTATTTCTTGATATTAAAAAAGAAATAAAACATCCATATCTAGCAAAAGAAGGCATCTATATGTTAGATAGAAAAGTAATTTTACTGCAAGTATAAAATAGTTATTTTGCTGATATAATTAGATATCTTTGATATACATCATTGTCTCCAGAGTCCCTCAAAATAAAGTTTCTTCTACTTGCTTAACCATACAATACACATATTTTCATTTTAGGAGCTAATTGAAGTTGCTCATCTGGAATCTCTATGTAAGAACAATTCATAACTGTGTCTGAATGAGGAAGAAAATACATACATATTTTTATTGGTTTTAAAAAATCATGCTAATGACTACTTATTACATGTAGTTTTACTGGAAACACATTGTTTTATTAAACATGAGGTCCATGAAATCAAACATATTAGTGTTCATTATTGACAGTAAAATCACTGTTCTATTTAATGTGATTTAATAGAATGACTTCTGATTTATCATGAATGATAATATCCCCTGGCTTCCCACAGGAAATAGCTAAAAAATTCAGATAAAAAGATGGAAAAATTGTGACAATATTGTGTCTTATCTCTTTTGCTCCAATCTACTTGGAGCAAAAGAAATAAGACATTATTTCCTACCACTGATACAATGGGTATTATTTGAAATTTCCTTGGGATCTGAATGCCTATTTGACTTTCAGGCAAATTTTACATTCTCTTCCCCTCTGTTTGGAAATTGAAACGTTTATATTATTACATTATTTCATTATGGTGTATTACTTGCCTGACTGAAGAAGAAAAGGATATTCTTTCACATCTGAAAACCAATGTACCCAACCTATAATTCTTCTAATTTGAAATAATTATGCTACACAAAGTGCGAAGCCATTTATTATATTTGATTCATTGCATCAATTTTCCTTTAAGTTGTTTAAGATATAATATGCCTTGCAAGAATCATTTCTGTAGCACGTGACAAAATTTCAAGAAACAAAGCAAAAATGCGTGCACTTTATTTACCTCTGAGCAAATATGCCAAACCATTTAAACAGAGGGAATTACCATATATTTTTACATGGAAAAATAATATAAGAGATAAAGGGAATATTGGAGAAGGAAGCTGTATGAATCCATTAGGAATACAGAAGATGGAGAATTTGTCTCCTAATTACTCACTTTCCAGTTAATTCTACATAATTTTCAAATGCTAGTAACAAAAAGTCACACTTAGAGTGACTAATGTGGCTTATCTACTCTATTCTTAGACTGGACATAGTTGCAGCTCAGAAGCAAATTACTGAGGTGGAGAATTACAAAGCTTTTCTTATCTCAGGAAATACACCTTGTCTATTTCTGAAGGGAACATGTGAACTGAACAACTGAAATGTTTCTCAGGTAAGCACGTATATTTAAAAGGTATTTAGCTAGATTCATTAAACATTTTAATAAATATCTTTATTTATTTAATAAATATTTAATAAATATCTTAATATTTTGTAACATGAACTAAGTAAGAAAAGTAACACCACTATATAAACAAATACTAGCTAATATTGTATATTTTACACCATTAAAATTAGAGAAAAAAATAGAAAAGCCCCATTTTCCTGGACCTCCCATAAATTATTTCACTGTTACTCTTGGAAAATCAACACTGTAACATACTGTTTAAGAGCATGATGTCTGCAGTGCAACTGTGATGCCTTGGTTCTTATACCTAACCAGCTGTGCTTTATTGGAGGCACTCAATTTCTGTTATGTAAAATAGGCTTAATAATGGTATCTACCTCCTAGGGTTTTGAGGAGGACAGATAATGAATTTTGAACAGCATAGCAAGCACCCAACAAGTATTACCTATCATCAGCTATTTTGCCTATATTGTACTAAAAAGGAAGTCTCAAACATCTAAATCTATAGACAAACAGTAAAATAATCATTTTCAAAACCTCCTGTAACATAGTCCAGTTTGATTGTTGAAATATTTCCTAACATTATGTAATTTAGCTAAACTGTATGGTTTTAATTACTGGACAGGAATTCAGGATACATGTGCTCAGGTCCAGCCTCTGGAATTACAGAATTTAGACAGTGACAGTGATGTTTCTCTGTTTTCAAATTGAGAACTCTCCAAGAATCCTTAATATCTATAAAAATCAGGTGATTCTATGATTCTAAGCAGAGGTACCATTACGTTGACATATATAATGGTTTTTGCAGTGATGCAGGTGAGTTGCTACTGTCTAAGTCTAGTGAAGATATACCATGGTGAATAAGACTTCTCTTATCCTTTGTAGAGTCAGAATAACATGAACTTAAAATAATAACTCATCTCAGGAAAAATATGCAAGGAAATGTGAAAAATTAAATATCCTCTTGAATAATTTTTCTTTTCTAGGGCATTTTTATTTGATTTAAATAGAAAATGATTCAATGGAACAATTTCACTTTTTTATTATAAAAATAAGACTGACTCAATAATTGGAGTGACCACAGTATATAATTCGAGAAATTATTTTAGAAAAATTAAGTAGCAAATGTATTGAGATCCTTATTAGACTAGGAAATGAAAGACTATAATCCAGAGACCCATTCATGTGAGTTGGTCGTCACATTTATTCAAATAATAAAATGTCTTTTTTAAGTTAAAAAAATCTTGTGAAAGAACAATGAAAGATTTCCTTCAACTATGTAATTGATTGAAATGCAAAATAGGTTTTGAATAGTCTTCAGTAGAGAACTATATAATTGTATTATTTTCAGTTTAAAAAACTTCAGTCTGATATTTTTGGTTATATGAAGTAATCAGTATGATCCTCTACACCTGACAGATAATTCAACAATCATTCATTTTTGTGTTGGAATTCACTCAGAGACACCCATGAAGATGAATAAATACTATGAAGCATCTTTTTTTATACAGAGGTAGAAAGTCAAAAGATTTTTATATACCCCTACATTCTTTTCTTCAGTAGATAAAATTAAAATGAACTATTTTAGATTGGGACTACAGAAGTCTGAAGGTGACTAGTTGTACTACCTTTATTCAAATATTTGTTCTTTCCATCATAAAATGGAAAAATATAGGAAACAGTAAAATGAAATAGTCATATAATTTTTGCTGTATGATTTTGTTTCCTGTTTAGATGAATAGTAAATGTCTAATTAACTTGTACTTATGACAAGCTACTTTTATCCCCAAATATTTGCAATTGAATTCATATCATTTATTGAATAGTGTATGCTTTCTTCAGTAATTTGAAATGCCATGCTTTTTATATATAACTCATTGTTATTTACACAGGAATCTGTTTCTGGGTTGTTTTCTGAAAGTCCACTCTTGAAGCTGCATTTCACTCTGGATTATTTGAGTTTTCCATGGCAGATAACCTATGACTTCAGCTCTTCTCTTTATTCTTCTTTATCATTTTTTTCCCCATGGATTTAGAACCAATATATAGAATTTCATTAAAATTATCAGATTTTTAAATGTATTGAATTTATTAATAGAATTGCCACTTTTTTTTTTTTTTTGTGGTACACAGGCCTCTCACTGTTGTGGCCTCTCCCGTTGCGGAGCACAGGCTCCGGACGCGCAGGCTCAGTAGCCATGGCTCACGGGCCTAGCTGCTCCGCGGCATGTGGGATCTTCCCGTACCGGCGCATGAACCCGTGTCCCCTGCATCAGCAGGCGGACTCTCAACCACTGCGCCACCAGGGAAGCCCTAGAATTGCCACTTTTAAGTACAGTTTTCCATTCAGAAACAGCATTACTGTTGATTCACTGAAGTACTTCTTGTGAACTAGAGCAAAATTTTACATTTTATCCATTTATCCATTTATCCATTCATAACTCTTGCACCTTCAATTAAACTGATTCCTATATATTCATAATTTTCATTTGCGAATGAGGTATTTTTATTAAGTTTTCAGTTATGTATTGCTGATGAATGTGAACCTTCTCATTTTTTAAAGTTAATTTGTTCCTAGGTGTCTTATTGACCT